GCATCCGCGACACAGCAGTCTGAGCCAGACCCACTGCTGGCAGTTCTAGGAAGGCTGCATATCCCGGCAGCACAGCAGGCAGGGGCAGCCCATACCTGTATTTACGAAGAGGGAAAAACTTAGTTCTGTCTGCTTTAACAGTGATGTCCATGCACTGCAGCTCCTCCTTGCTTGCACAAACCTGCACTGTCTTAGAATCATCTGAGTTGGAAGGGACTCTTAATGTTCACCTGGTCCCACTTCCCTGCAACACCCACAGCTCCATCAGGTGCTCAGAGCCCCATCCAGCCTGACCTTGGGTGTCCTGGGACAGGGCACTACCACCTCTCTGGGTAGCCTGTGACAGAGCCTCATCACTCTCAGTGTAAAGAGCTTCTTCTTCATGTCCAATCCAAATCTCCCCTCTTTTAGTTCAAAACCACTTCCCCTTGTCCTGTTACACAGACCCCACTAAAGAGTCTCTTCCCTTCTTTCTTACAGCCCCCTTAGATACTGACAGGCCACTCTCAGTTCTCCCTGGAGCCTCCTCTGCTCCACGCTCAACAGCCCCAGCTCTCAGCCTGCCCTCAATAGGGGAGGGGCTCCATTTCTGCGGCCCTTTCATTGCTTATGGCTGCATTACAGGAAAGGCAAGCAGTTAACCTGTCCTCTTCCCCCACACAGCAAGCAGCAGGGTGCTGGGCCGGCCCTGCACCTGCATACGGCTCTGCTGCCAGCAAACTGCTATCAAACCAGGCACCCATTGATTTATTTTGGCGAACACTTGCTCATTCTGCAACTTCTGCATTTCTCACCGTCATCTGAAAACAAAACAAAAAGCAAGACAGGCAGGCTTCCTGCAAACACAAAATCCTCTTCCCGTCGCTCTTCAGGCCCACGGCACCAGTCCAAACTGCTCTGCACAGCAGCACAGCTGCTTATCTGCAACATTTGAAAGACAGCGTGACAACAAGATGCCCAAGTGCAAACCAGCAACTGTCCCACACGCTGTCTTGTCCCTGTCAACTGATTGAAGGCAAAATGCTGCGGTGCCAGCTTCATCAGCAGTGACCAATAGGCATAGCACATCGTGCTGATTTCTGATGGGAGCCCGTGGGCCCCCAGCTCAGCAGGAGCAGCAGGGCAGCAGGCCCACCTCAGTCCTGCCCACAGCCAGCCCAGCTTGAGTTTGGGCTTTATGGTGTGAAACTGACTTCTGATTTTTGAAATATCAATGTGCTGGGTCCGAGACATTCGGCTCATTTCATTCCCTCACAGAAAGTTGTAAGCCTAGACATAACTCATCTCTACATCTAGGTAATTTAGAAGCAGCCTGGACAAGGTATTGGAGAATACCACAGGGAACAATCTTGTGCTGTGGAGGACTGTGGTAGACGACCTCATAACTCTTCTTCTCTATTTTGCACCATTCTAGAGTTTTCATGACAAGTACAAAAATCATTCTCTCAAAGCAATAACAACGCCTGGTGTAAATGCACAGCCACTGAGATTCGCATCCTGCAGTACAGGAGCTGAAGTGCGGCTGGAAATCTGTGACTGCCACTTCTGATATCATCTTTAATAAAAGGTTTCACTTTGATCTCGTGGGAGAAAAAGGAAGTGGAGATTACAAGCCCATGCACTCCAGGTCACCTCACCTTCTGCCCTGCACGATGGAAATTCAGGATGAACATTTTCTCCCCCAGCCTAAAAACTGAGCTAGGGACCAGAGGAAGGAGCTGGGACCCAGCTCACCACCATGTGCAGCACTTGTGGCTCTGAAGCACAGCTTTGCTTTTGCTTTCTTGGAAGAGCAACCAGAAGCTCACGGTGACGTGTCTTCAATTGCTGCACTGGCAGAGATAAACTCAGTGCAAAAAAAAACTGCTTGTAACAAACAAACCAATACCCTGTGGGACACCAAAGGCACACCCAGCCCAGTGCACACCACCAGGGCCACAACAGCCACCCAACGCACGTACACAGGGATATCTCCCCCAGCAAACTGCAGCCTAGATCGGTCCCAACCCAGAGAAAGAGCCTTTCTCTCAGAGCTGCCTGCCAGGTGACCTCTCCCAGGAGCTCAGTGGGACGCAGTGCTCACAGCCTCCTGCAGCACGCTGCCCAGCTGCACTGCAGGCTGTCTCCTTCCTGGTGCAGTAAGGCAGAGGGACAAAACTGAACTACAGCTGCCAAGAGTTCAGCAGCAAGAGACCCACCTGGGCCACAGTCCCGCACAGAAATATTTCCAGCATCTCTTATGTTTCTTTCCTATATTGGCTTTCTCTGTGGCTGCACTGATGTGCCTGCTCAGGTGTACCTGTGTTCACAGGAGCACGTGCTGTCCCAGTTTGGGGCAGAGCAGCCTTAGAAGAGCTACAAGACTGCACTGAGTAATGAGCGAAGAATCACAGCAAAAACCAAAGTGCCATTCTAGAAAAACTGAGGGTCGGAGTCTCAACTTCAGCAACACTGAGGCTACAAGTACCTACTCACCTTCATGACTCTTTCCTCTCCCACCCAGAGCCCAGCACAGCCCCAGTGACACAACCAGCACAGGGCTCACTGTGGCTCCATGGCCACCGGGCTGTCCCTGCCTTCCTGACAGGCAGGAAGCCTCAGTCAGCCCTTACGTGAGCAGTTCTGCTGTTTCTACAGACAGAGCCTGCAATCACCCCACTGGGCCTGCGCTCAGTACCCTGAGTGCACTGAAGGTGAGAGTCGGGGAAGCAGCAGAAGTGGGAGGAGCCGGGCACACCGTCACCACACATCTATCCTGCACGAGGCTGTCGGAGCCCTAAGTGGTCAAGCATCAGGCTGCAATGAACTTCTCCTAACTTCTTTCCCATTCACAGACTAATTCAAATGGAAACCTTGAAGCATTTCTGTTCATCTACTGCAGAAGGAGTGCATGAGGGCATCTGTCCGTGCTGCCATTCCGAGCCGGAAATATTACTCAGTCAAAGCAGCAATGAAAAATGGTCACAGATAAGAACATGCTAAATGAAATACACAGCAGTTGTCATCAGCTCTCCCTAGAGGTCACTTCTCCTGCAAATACTGCTGCATAAATAACATGTCACATTTTAAATTAAGCATCCCGAGCAAGAGTTTAATTTAAAACTATACAAGTAGTTATAATTTAGCCATCTAAAGCACTCAGCTTTAACAGCAGCACAGCCACGTGCAGCAACCAATTGCCATTCAGCCAAGGTGGGAGTTGTGCAGACCTCCAGAGCAGTAGGGTGCAGAAGGAGCACCTGCTGAAGGACTGCTGACCCACTGCCAGCCAGCCTACTGGCCCCACAGCTGCAGACCTGCATGCAGGCACATCTGTGCCCCGCTCCTTGTAGCACTTTCGAGTCCAATTCAGCACCTCTCTGGGTCCTCTGGCCCACACCACTGGTTTGGCAGGCCTGGGGAGGGCAGTGCTGGTTCTTCTGGTTGGACCTGGCTAGGAGAGCACTGCACAGCCATCCCTGCCCTGATATACTTTTCTCCCTTTCAGCCTCTCCACACAAAGCCCCCAAAATCCTGTTCTTTACTAAGGGGAAAAACGTCTCCTGAACAGCACTGCAACACACATAATGCTATATTCTCATATTCTGGCTTCAAAAGCACAGACTGTAAAACACTCGTGTTTTCTAGGTGAGGAATGCAGTGATGCGGTTTGACCCCGCAGTCAGGTTTGCAAACACCCAAGGCATTAACTGAGGGGATTCCAGGCTGGCTGCCATTTGTTTGTCACGGATCCCACATCTCTGGGAGCCCTGCCACAGATCAGCACAGGACAAGATTATGTGGGATCAGAGGACTGAGCACAGCATGGGCCATGCCCTGCCCAGTACTCCTTACTGCGGGCACAGCAGGGCACAACGACACGAGCAGCCAACGACACACGATTTTACAGACAAAAAGCTCGATAATTAGTAACAATAGCAAAAATTAGAGCAGCTCGCGTTCGAGTTGTTAATTCTCAAGTATGTTTCCCGGAGCCCGCTCCATATTTTCAAAATGAACCGCTCTATTAAATTCAAATTAAACGCACAGTTAAGCACATTTAAGCGGATGCAACTCAAAGTGCTGCTACGCTGTCAGCCCAGTGCTGCTACGCTGTCAGCCCGGAGATGTTTGCTTCTTTCTGTCGACGTAATAAAACCCGGCTCATCGACAGCGCCCGTAAGAAGCGCACAGACAGATGAGACCACAACGAGACGGGCAGTGCGGGGACGGCTTCGCGTTCCGAGGAGGCGCGGAGCACCGCGCACAGCAGCGCGGATGGGTGCGGTGTGCCCTGAGCCGCTCGGCCCCGCTGCCGCTTCCCTCCCGCATCTCCTCGGACCCCGCGCCGTGAGGAGGTCTCAGCGTTAGGGCCGGACCCTCTATCAGCTCCCATTACCATCAAGTTAATCGCCCCCCGGTCAAAGAGATTCACAGAGGCTGTTGGCTTCACAGGATCGAGTTGAGAGTAACGAAACCGGAGGATTGGAGGGGGGACGGGAGGTGAAGAGGAAGCAAAAAACCGTTGATTCATTTCCCATTTTACTCCTCGGTGCAGCACCTTATTTCATTAAAGCACCGATATCTCCATTTTCTCCCCAGTTAACGTGCCTCTGTTGGAAGCTCCTTCGCTCCGCGGGCTCCCGGCGTAGCGCTCGCTACGTGCCGGACCTTTCCCTCCGAGCACCGCTCGCTTTCACGCCGCCCGACCCCCGCAGCCCCACGCCGCACCCGGGCGAGCGAACTCCCACCCTCCGGAATTCACCCGGTGCTGCCCATCTGGGGCACCGCAGCCTCCAGCGCGGGCCGTATCCCCTGACCGCGACCGGGGTGACCGCCGGGGCGTTCATATACCGGGGGCTGCAGCGGGGACACCCGCCCCCAGACAGCCGAGCGCCCGGCCCGGTACCCGCGGTGATTCCCCGTTCTCCGCCCGCGGCCCCGGCGGAAGATTGCGCCGTGCTCTGGGAGTCCCGCATCCCCACCCGGGCTGGGGGTCCCGCACCCCGCCGCGCCCGTACCTGTGTACCCGCGGGGCCCGCCGCCATCCCGCCCGGGCGCAGCGGTGCGCGGCTCGTCCGGCCCCGGCGCAGTGGCTGCCGGCATGGCTCCTCCGAGCCGCACCGCTCCGAGCCGAACCCAGCCGCGCAGCTCGGCAGGTGCAGCCCGCACCGCCTCCGCCCGCCCTTCGCCGCCGGGCCGGGCCGGGGGGGTCGGAGTCCCGCGGGAGCCGCCGCCAGCCCGCCTCGCCCCGCCCTGCCGGCACCCGCAGGGCTCGGAACGGGAGAAGGAGGAGACGGAGGGAGGCGGCTGCCGGAGCGCTGCCCCAGCTTCTACCCGCGGGTTGACCCCCCCGAGCTGCCAGCCGCATCCCTCTACCGGTTACCGGGGGCTCGGCACGTCCTGCTTATGGCTTGTCCTGCTGTTGTGGAGCTGTGTGCGTGATCACGTATGTGCAGCACTTGGTCTTCAAAGTTGTGGCTTTTTGCAGTAGGATCTGAAACTAAACTTGGGTAGATAGATGACGTGAAGGAGCACCGGAGGCATCACCCTCCTGCCTGCAGCTGGTGGGACAGCGGCTGCTCTGCGAAACGGGCACCTTGTGCCCTCACTGCACCACCACCTGTGACATCCTGCTCCCATCACCCACTTGTTAGCAAGCAGCACGCAGTGAGGTTGGGGCTCAGCAGTGCTCAGAGGGGCTGATGTCAGCAGCTGGCCACAGAGGTATGCAAGGTACACTGCGGAGCAAGGTGCCTGTGCAGCCAGAGGAGTGCAGAGAACAGAGAAGCACTGAGATGCTTTTCCCTTAGGCCATCACCACTATGCCTGCCGTGCTAATAATGAACACAGCTGTGCCACAGGTATGGGGTGTGGGCCTGCCCTGAGCAGAGCTCTGGCTGCTGATTGCAACAGGGAGGGTGGGCAGTAATGCTGACCCAATTTCTGCAGTCCTGACTTAAGTCCGGCTGTAACAAAAGAGAATTTTCCCCAAGTAAGGTGCTGCCATCTGCCTCTGAACACCAGCGATGTGATTTCACTTTCAGAGCCACCCCTCCAGCACAAATATGCTTTGGATTTAGTAAAGATCAAAATAGTGGAAACAAATACAAGAAATAAGGGGAGAGAGAAGGAAGAAAACAAACAGTGTGTCTCAAAAATGAAGATGGCTTTGACACAGAAGTGCCATTTTCCACACTGTGCCCCTCACTTGGCTGTTAACAGCAGTGGAGCTGTGCAGCCCCAGCCGGACACTGCTGGTGTAGGGGCTGTTAGCTGCTGGATTTCATTAAGCTGCCCTAAGGCACTGTATTCCTTCTGATCCCAGTTATTAGGGCTGGCTCAAGGCACTCCAAGGGCACTTCAGCAGCCATGGGCTGATCCCCAGCTCTCCCCCCTGCAGCCACCTCGCCCACCTTCTCCTTCCTTCCTGCACCTCTCCTGAGTCCAGCTGTGCATCAGCCCCTCGTTGCAGAGCCAATAAACCTCACTAGGAGCCCTGAGCTGCCGCATGGGTTATGCAGTGACTCTTTAAAAGGACAGTAGCTCTCAGCTACAGGTTGCTAATCTAATCAGATAACACATGCACAGGAGTCCTCCTTGGGCTCAGCAGCTAGATTCCTGAAAGAAAAACTTGACCCTTTGAAATGGCAATGAGATCATCCATTGGGTTATAGGAAGTGTCTTCATCCCCACGGTGCTTCTGAATCAGCACATGCCCCTGCTGAAAGGAGCTGCTTCCTCCTCCAGCAGCAGAGCAGCCCTGAGCACAGCACCTCCAACAGCTTCCTCCAGACCCCACACCTTTACAGAATATCTCAAAAATCCTCAGGAGATGTGTAAAGGAGCCAACAGGTCAGGATATATAAGGGAATAGCTGGTTGGTGTTTTCAACCTGGATTTTCATAGAAGGGCTTTCAGGGTGGGATATTTAGGATGGAAAGAATACAGCAACATTGTTCAGTGCTGATCAATGCAGTCACAGTTTAGCAGACAAGGCCTCACAAATTTGTGTTTGGTTTGGGATTTGGGCAATGCTGTGGTGATCTGGCGTATGCCACACTTTCTTTCTCAGCTCTGTTTCTTAAAATTATAATAGAAAGCAAATAATGATAATTCCATTTCTCCATTTGCATTGTTTATGCAGAGTCTAGGAACCAGAAAACAAAATAAATGCTAAAAACTTGCAAATCCCCACATTATGAATATGCAGAGCGCAAAGCAGTGGAGGTTCAGCAGCCCTGAGCCCTGCTGTCAATGTGCACGAGTGCACTCCAGAGTGCTGAGCTTCCACCTCCCCACTTCACTCCAATACCAGCATCTGAGGTGCTGGAGATGATTCTAGGAGGGACAGCATTGGAATAAACACACATAGAGTAATGGGAAACAAAGAATTCATGGTGGAAGCGGGGAAGAGGAGACAGAAAGCAAGTGGCTCATTCAGAAAAGAAAAGCGTGTTTAAGAAGAAATGGGAAAATGTCAGGTTCTCCCATCCCAGCCTCTGGAAGATGGACACTTCTAAGGACAACTGTTTGTGTTCACTCCGAGTTTGGAAAGGAGCTGAATTCATAGCAGGAGCTGCTGATTTCAAGAATCCAAACTGTGAGGTGTTCACTGGGACACCTCTCAGGCTGAGAGGGCTCTGACAAGATTTTTTTATTCTTACATTTTAGATCCAAATGTGAAAACGGTTCCAGAAACCAGAATCTGCTCCAGAGGAAAAGATGCTGTGTGGCACTGAGTAGAGGGATTATATGGAGAAATAAAAATGTGAGCAAGCAGTGGGATTTTCCTCTCTGCTTAAGACCCAGAGCTCTAGGATAGTAGATCTGCTGTGAAAATCAGTGCTGCAGATTTCAAACAAAAGCAGCTTTCTGCAAAAACACCTCTCTCAACACTTGGCATCATCGATGCATAGCAGAACTCTCTGTGTCAGGGGAAGAGGGTTTGTTTCTTGGTGAGGATGACCCCTTCTCTCCTTGTGGACCACCGAAACCAGGCAGGAGCATCAGGCTGGCTTTGTTCAGTGACACCATGGGATCAATATTGAGAACAGAGCATGGGGTTCTGCCTCCCAGCCCCCTCACCAGGGCTTGCTCTGCTGTGCTGCCACCATGGGAGCTGGCATGGAGAGTGTCATAGAATCATAGAATGATTTGGGATGGAAGGGACCCCAAGGATCATCAAGCTCCACCCCCCTGCCGCATGCAGGGCCACCAACCTCCATATCTAATGCTAGATCAGACTGCCCAGGGCCCCATCCAACCTGGTCTTGAACACCTCCAGGGATGGAGCATCCACAGCCTCTGTGGGCAGCCTGTTCCAGCACCTCACCACTCTCTGGGGCCACAGGATATTGATGCCCATGGCACAGCCAGCTCTTACAGAGGGTCATCACCTTCTCAGCACAGTGAGATGGCTTCTCTGAAAGCACACAAAGAGGGGAACGTGGGCAGCTTCACAGATAAACTAAAGGCTCAAGCAATAATTTTTAAACTATCCTCAAGAAGATGGACAAAGCTCTCTCATATTACATATCAGCAAAAAAGATGTTAAAGTCAGCAAAAGCTTGGCTTCAGTTTGCCATTGAATTGGAGCCTGGGCATCTTCCCCACGCACAGCGTTTTTCACCACGGGGGGTTCTAAGGAAAGGTATGAAATGTATTCCTGAATGCACCTATTTTGCTAAAGCTGAAAATAAACACACGCTTCTACATCCTGTTTTTTCTCTCCAAACAAAAATAGCCAGGACAGACACAATGCGCGCCCGAAAGCTCACGTTTATGCCAGCGAGAACAAGCTCAGCACTCAGCACCTCTGTGAAGGCTCATTAAAGGAGTTATTTCTCCCCACAGGACTTGTCAATCTGATTCCACAGACAAGGCAAGTAATTATTAGGATATTTATGCTAATTTTATTTTCCGACCGCAAACTAACCCCTGGAGTTACAGCCCTCCAAAACACATTGTGTGATCTGGCAGCGCTTCAAGCCCTGCTGACTTACCTCCCGTAATTAGTGCCCTTACCTCAGTGGGTCCACCCAGTCCTGTACCCTGGCGCTCTGCGAAACCCCAGGTGCTTATTTTTAATGAGTACAGCCATGAAAAAATATATTCCTGACACAAGTTGTGAAGAGAAGCACCAGCAACTCGTGGAAGTGCAAGCTGTACATATGCTGGCGGCTGGAGTGAGTCGAGTGGATCTACCCATCCCCTCACTCTCTGTTTATTACTCTGTGTACAAAGCAGTTTCACGTTTATGGAGGTGGCTCTCTGCAATAACCATTTGTTAGAGCCTACCACGTAGCAGCATGAGCAGAAGAGCCGTAGCTTAAATATTTTGCCCAAAGCAAAAACCTCTTCTATTACTGATGTGCACTGTTTGTTATAACTACCTGTGGATTAAATTATATTCTCAAGGGCTATTAAATGAGATGGTCTCGAGTCAGCCTGATTCAACTGAGAAATATCTTCTTTCTAATGAGAAAAGCCAAGAAGAGCTGCAAACTTTATGATAGAAGCCTGCCAGGTGTGCAGTTCACATAAAATATTTCATTCTCCAAGTCCCATCACCAGAACTGCTTATTTTGACTTACTCTGAATTGCTGACCTCGACTCCAGCTCGCCAGCAGCCCAATTCTCAAATAGACAGCAGGGACAGCAGAAGGTAGGAGCGACTCCTTGGGAGTAAATAAAGGAGGGGTATCACCTTGGCCAGCACGGAACCCCCCCAAGGCATCCTGCAGCCCCATCACCCTACATGAATCCTAGCCTAGATCTAGAAAACTCCAGGTATTCCAGGCCTTACAAATGCTCACATTGGGCTAAAGCTCTTCTTGCAAACAGTAGGTTCTTTGCCCTCAGGAAGTCCTAAGTGTTTCTCAGTTCTCAGCTAGAGTGTGGAGTGGAGACACAGCCAGGATGGCTTCTTTGTCAAGAGAAAACTCAAGTAATTCATTGGGCAGCAGCCATATGAGATTCCCTTATGCACGGTCAGTGTGTTTCTTTGGCCCTTTGGTCACAGCTGCCCAAACTGATCCCTGCTACCCCAAAAGTCAAATGGGAACATGCTGATATCAAGCAATATAACATCATCTGCAAGCCATAACACAGGCATTAATGAAATATTAAAATGTGAATAAGGCAAAAAATGTCTTTTGAGAAGCTAGCCCACAGCCTCCAGGAAAACATTCTTGAGTTTCAAGCAGAGCAGCCTCAGACTCACCTATTTCTAGTGTAGTGATCTCAGCTGCAATCACATTGGACACCTACAGGATTTTCAACACTACTAGCATGAACAACTGGGATGAAGTATATAAAAACTTACATGTGTCTATACTTTTATATAAATATAGGCAAATCAAACCAAATACTAA